GTCCTACAATTGTAGGAACGACTGACGATACGGCCCTAAAATATAGTACCACTAATAATTTCCTCAAGATCTGACAACACTGTCAGAGAAATCTGATGTAATGTGTAACCTGGATGCCATTACCTATTCCCAGTATTTCCAAGCTAGAACAAAAGTTTGCATTACAATGCTGCAAGTCACAGCTGACTGATGGATCTTTGTGTAATACCAAAGCCAAAGATATGACCTCCGAATGACTGGGTAGGCTTATCACACAAATCGGTGATCGAAGCTAGAAGCTTTCTAGATGACATCTACTGTCTGAAGTGCGCGAAATACACGTACTCCAGAAACTTCCCATAAGTCCCTCCAGTACATATGTATTTATTAATTCCTCTTGGATAGTTTCGTGATCGAAGTGATATCAAGTAGCAGTCAAAACTGCAATCTAGCATTTGTTCATAATTAGATCTGCTATGAAACCAAGATATAACTTTTAGCTGCACCTACCCAGACATATCTTAACTTCATTGCTCTTGAAACGAGTTTATGCTACTGAAAATAATAAACAAAAACCATTAATTTATACCGTGATCATTTAAGATAGACTGTTAATTTGCAAGTTTATAAAGTACACCCACTGCAATTAAGAGTGAAATGTATGTTTGGAAATTTTTCCTAAGCAACCAGCTTCTCTTAATTAGCATTAATTCGTTTTAGTTTAATTTTCTTAATTAAGCTAATGAAAGCATGAAAGAATGTACGCGTTGTACCCAGATCGTAATCCTGACGTAATTAATATTTTAACCTGATATCAATTAAGGCTACTATACAAACGGAAAATGCCAGATGTAGTGATAAGGTATCTATTGTCATGATCGGTAATTATCTCATAAACTAATTAAGACAAAACGCAGGGGAGGCTTAGAATGGTTCTCATCTATCACATGCTTTTCCGGTAAAGGATACCTTCTGAAAGATAATACGCCTCCCGAGTGACTTCAAATCTGGTTTTACTATGAAGGTAGGCTCATGAGTCTATAGCAATAAAAGAATTTCTGTCGGTTCGTTTCTTGTAGAGGAAAAAAGGTGGCAATACTCTTTTAAGTTTTAAATCCCATCACAATAGGTGAAATTTTCTTAATTACTTGAACGAGCAAATTGATATCTCTTACCGTTCAGAGATCCCAATAGTGAGAGTCGAATTTAAAACGCCGGGTATATTGTGCATAAACACAACAGATGTTTATTGTATTTCGAATTATCATATACAAATCAGGTGACATGAATCGCTAGTGATATTCTGATAGTTATTCAGTGTTGTAGACTTGAGCATATTAATAGAATATTTACTTCATCACAATCGAGGATGTAGGCGAATTGATTATTATACCAGTCTCAAAGAACCAATATCAACCGTTAGGCAGAACAGGTGGGGACAGTTTGCTATTAGATTTTCATTACTACTCCTACACGGTTTTGTAATTATTAAATCATTACGTTCTTTTTGGGATAGGCATATTAATATTATAATAACAGTAACAATAATGATAATAATAATAATAACAATAATGTTTATTATTGTTACAAAGTTTTCATATAAATAATAACGGCAATGTCCCATAAACATAATATACCCAAAAAAGTGTAAACTTGTGCTTGGGTTTTAACCAAAGTTGAGTTATATTAATACAACAAATTTTCTTTAAGTATACTAGTCAAATGTATAAATTTGCATCATTTTATGATCAAATAGCATATAGGTTTTTAGTGTCAACAAACTTATGGATTTGTAGCCTTGGTTGATTTAGGATCCATGATTTCAATTCAATTTTCAAACGTTTTATAGATTTTATTATGTTTAAGGTTTGCAGGAATAACATGATAAAATTTTGAGCATAGAAAATAGAATGATATTTGGCTGATAGTTTTATTCAGTCTAGGAATTAATGCAGAGGTTTCCTGGAATCGCGTTTGATGGTTGTGGCTGATAGAAAGTAATAATTTTGGATTTTTTGTTAAATATATTATTGTATGATAAAAATAAATTTGCCGCCAGCCGAAAAGCTGAGATTCATTGTAAAGATTTTCTGAGGGATAACATTTCTTTTTGTGCAACATAACTTTCAAAATCCACTTTTATAATAATTATTCATGACTCTCCCCCATGCTAAGATTGCGCAAGATAGTAATGATTGAACAAGGGCATGATATATCAAGTGTAGATATTTTTCGCTTAAAAAACTGCTGAAATATCTTAGATGTTATATATGTGAATACCACTAGGTAAATTATCAACCGATTGTATGTTTCTACAGCTACTCAACGTTTTAATTTGGAGTTGATTCAAATTTGGGAAAGATCTGTTGTCGCAAGAAAATGTAATAAAGTATGTTCTGTTGAAATTGACTGTTAAAATCCTTTCCGTGAAAATTTTGTAACCTTTTGAAAATCTAATACAATTTTGTTTTTTAAAGAAGTCCAATCTTTGTCTGAGTAAATAATTGCCGCATCGTCTGCGAAACCAACAGTTTCTCCATCGTTTTTTAACTTAAAAAGGTCATTAATATATAAATTAAATAGCATTGGTCCTAATACTGTTCCTTGTGGACCTCCGCATCTAACAATCATATTTTCACTCAGCGTACTGTTGATGTTCACACATTGTGTGCTGCTTTTCATGGGTTGATAAGTGACTCCACGAAATCCTAAATTTTGCAAAGTTATTAATAAGTTTTGATGTGTAATACTATCGAATGCTTTGGTTAGGTCTACTAAAAGGCATGCTGTTGACTTATTATTAGAAAAAATATTATAATCCAATATTAGATCGAATTTTCATAGTAAATAAACTGTTTGAAGAATGCTTACACAGAACTATGAAACACAAACGTTACTTCGAGGAAGTGTTTTATCAAGAACTCATCCTTCCTAGTAAGCGCGGAGGATTAGATGCTTTTTATCTAGCCTTTTTATCTCCTTACGTACCAAGTTCAATAGTAGTAAACTTGACGTAACATTCTGACAATACTGATATGTAAAGTTTTCAATGTTTATATTGAATTTTAGATTACGTATTGTGTACTGTGGCGCTAGTAAACATTTTTTCATATTACCTGTTTAAGTGAAATTGATTTAACGTGTACCTTTGAATCAAGGTAGAAGTCTCCACTTACCATCTATTTTAAGTGACGCTCCTTCCAATAACATTACCGCTACCAGTCAGTTGAAGATGTTTATGGTCTGAGCAACTGAGTGCTGCTTAGGTAGATGGAAATCTGACGAACACCACTACCAATGGTCTTGCCACCGACTGCTGTCTGCAAATTTCTGAAAAATTGAAAATTACGGATACAAACAACCACAAGTTCTATGTTGTTTTATAAAGCTCGCGTGAAAGAAATATTTGATGACTACTCAAAAAAACAGCAACCAAGTTTGACCGTGGGACGAACAGTATTTCATCGAATTGTCCAAGTACCTCTTAGGGATACGAAAAGGGGAATGTATATCCTTTGCGTATCTGTTATACATTTTGTTTGATCCTTGATGCTTCAAGATATTAAATTTAAACTCATAAAAAAAATCAAGGGAAAATACCATACAACAAAGATATGGTGCTCAGAACCTCAAAGCAGCTGATGGTAGAGGAAGACATTAATATCATTGAGCCGTATTCATAAAAGAGAAACATATCATCGGAAGCATAAGGTAAAAATATAAGTCTTGCTTCGAATAAAAAGGTAGAAGTAAAAGCATATCCTTATTTTTATATTCATAATTATTACCTTATACTCGCGAGGCTATCATCCAAGAAGAATTAAAAGGTTGACTTGTATTTGTATCTTGAGCGACATGTCCTGACTTGTTCCAGCTTGTAGTTGGCGTGGGAGTTCGTTCACTCAGCATCACTGACAGTTTGTACTCCAGAGCTTACACAGACGGTTCCGTATGTTTACTGGATACAGTTTTTTATCAAATTAAAAAGCATGTCGCATGTCATCCTCAAGTGATGAGGAAACTATAGAAAATAATGGCGACGACCTGCTGTTCATCGCAGATGAAATTGCCATCATTGTTCCCATTATTTTGCAAAAGTCACAAGTTCCAGAAGTAAAAGTGAGAAAGGACGATGCCTTGAAAAAGATGTTGAAAAAATACGAATTAAGGTTCGGTAAACCATTAGATACTAAAGGCTTATTAAAAAAAATCAAAAACATGAAATCAAGATTGAAGAAAAAAAACAGATCTAAACAAAACTGGTAATAAAGCAATTAAATTGTTAGATTGGGAAAGAATGTTGCTGAAAGCTATGGAAGGTGACTGTAATCCTACAATTGGGAAAATTAGAGGTGCTATTGAGGTTGGTAGTGTTCAAGAAGAAGGAAGTGAACTATATACTGAGCGCAGTGAGCAAGCAGTTAGTATTACAGCGCCAGCAATTCAGAAGATATTGCCACCAAAAGCAAAATTAGCAACAGAGAAATACGAAACTGAGGAAACCAAAGGGTTAACTACAAAAGAACTACAACGTCTAGTGATATCACAGCAGTACCAAACAGGTATCTACAACAAGAGTATTATTACAAAATGAAATTAGAAATGATGCAGCGTCAAAAGCCACCTGTAGCTTATGATGGTCACGAAAATAAAACTTATTATAACTTGTAAATACACTTTAATCAGTAAAACTATTTATTATAACACTCAAGTTTCTTCTTATTTGTTGACCTAGTTGGCGGAGAGGAAGTTCGTCGTTCTCATGATTTCCTTTATCTTCATCTGGGTCTTATTCAACTAACTCAAAGTCAGGATCGTCCAAGCTCTTCGCAACATTATGGAGTACAATACAAGCAATAATTATTTTCGGCACATTTTCAAACCTTACGCGGCAAACATACTGTAGGATAAGAAATCGCCGTTTCAGTTGGCTTTCTTGTTTTAAAAGCTTATTATAATTTATTTCTGAAGCTGGAGTAGGATTTCTGAAGGAAGTCATGAGGCATGGCTCAATACCATAACCGTCATCGCCAAGTAGTACAACATTTGTCTTTATTTATTAGTTGTGATCTAGTCTGTGAATTTTTTCATTTTCTGGAATCATGCACTGATCCAGGCCAACTGACATCAACACTTGTGAACATCTCTCTGGCATCACAAGTGGCTTGCACATTTAAAGTAGGTTTCCCTTTTCGGTTGATATACTCGTGTCCATGGCGATTTGGTTTCAGCATTCCTGTATGTGTACAATCAATGACACCAATTTCTGCACACATGCTTTGCCATATCCGCTTGGCCTCCATCAGTTCATGGTTGGTAGTTGGAATCTTGATCCATTCGTTTGACTGTGCAACTATGCTGTTCACAACTCTATCCATAGTCCGAGATGCCGTTGCTTGACTAACAGTAAGTTCCTGACAAATACCTTGTTGATATTCAGGGTCACCGAGATAGCGTAGACATATCTTCATTTTATGAATACATGAGAGTGCTCCTCCTCGAGTTTCCCCATTCTCAATTAATAATCTGTCCGCAAGCCATTGTACATTTGCTTCGTCGAACAGATATAATTTTTTGAAGTCACGACCAAGTGAAGGTAAACGAGGTCTGTACGTTTTAACATCCACAATTTCCGCCATCATCGTTTGACCACCTTTCGTTTTGAAGTTGAGTCTGCTACTGACCACACTCAGAATTTTGGAAGGATATGCTTCCTGTGCCAAGTATAAGGTGAAGATTATGAATATCATTTTACTTATGTCACCACTTTGAAGGATATGCTTATACTCAAAAAGCAAAAGCGTTTACTTCAAATTATTATAAATACCATCTGGAGGATTTCCTTCGAAATTTGCAAGTACAAAAGGATATCCTTTGTTTTATGAATACGGCTCAATGACTCTGAACAGAAATAACAGTTCAGCATATAAAGTTATAATACCATTTTACTTAGCTTTTCATTCTAACAAATTTGGCTTAAAATAAAATAGCCTATTTTGTTGAAATTACAATGCAAAACCAACGAAGTCACAAAGGTGGGACTTTTAGTGAATTATTTTGTTCTGCAACAGCCAACTATGGACAGCTGTTTTGTTCTTTTTGACAACTCATCAGCAAGGTCCAGGCTGGGTCACTGAGACAACGAATGACTGCGAGAGTGTATAGCAGCTGCCGGTTGGAATCGTGAATATCTTAGTTCACGCTTGACATACCTTGGATGGAGGATAGTTTGTTATGCTTTCGTCCATCGCCCCACAGACCAAGCCTGGGACCACTTTCTTGATACCCTAGAAAATGGTGACATATTGACTATGTTTTATTACATTAATATAACTCCTTAATATACACAGTGTTAAATTTTGTAGACCGGTGGAAATTTTAATGTACAGTATCTTTTGAAATTATACGGCTCCGCAACTGTTACTTGGATGACCATTTCACCTAAAAATCAGAAATATTATTATTTTTAATACTTCGCTCTCAACTGTTATTCCTATAATGAATAAAAATATCTTGAATTGATTTTAAGACTTTAATATGGATGAGTTATGAATAAAATGCTACATGACCTACGGAAAAATGATTTAAACATTGTTGAAGTGTAATTTGAGGACTCTAGACTTGCCTGTGTCTGTTTGTTGTGTCCGCTGTTTACATCCAAAATAGTTGCGTTCTATTCGGAGCTTTTTCTGCATCTCCTATGTTTGAAGAGCTGACTGAGATGATGTGTCAGAAGGCTTGTTTCACGTACTTGCATCAAACCACTTGTTCTCACTTTGATAGTAGTGATATGACTTGATATATTTGAGCCAACCCAAATAAATGCAATATTCGCTTAACTATAGTGCTTCAATCTTCCTGTTGGTCTACCACAACCAGGTTGGAACCAAAAACGTGTAAGATGCAAGGATGCATCTGGGTATCAGTGTAAGGGTGGGGGAGGGGCTCATTGGTGGTCGCAGGATTCATGCTGAGGAACATGTTCTTCTATGGGAATGGGTGGAACAGTGATTTAGAATCGAAGAGGGAGGGGTGGCTTTTGAGAGTCCTAATGAAAATTGATGATTAGAGGGTGGGAACTACGCTGTGGGAGCGCAGACTGCACGATTCAGGTCTATCAATATATCTTTAGCACCAAGATACAATAATTTGGATCATTTGGTTGAAAAAATGACAGACTTGAAAGTCTAAGGCGGGAGGCGCCTATGGTAAGTCAGTGATAGTTCTTAGGAAATACGCTATATTCAATACATTTTCGCATTGCCGGTCAGAAAGCTTTTTGAAACGATATGTCATGTGGTGCGCTGGTTACTTCATACTTACTGATTTTTAGGTTTGGACATAGTCGAGTGGATGAGACAAATGTAAGACGTTGAGACAATTCGACATAACCGTAATTGTGGTGTAATGCACAACATGTTGCTTTGAGAACAATAACATTCGCTGATTAGTGCTTTTTGAAGTAACAATTCAGTTATTCTGCTTTTAGGAAGATTAAAAACTTAGTAACCAACAGCCACCATATTGGACATCACGTGGTTCGGATTGCAAAAGTTTAGCGGACCATCTCCTTACATTATCTTGATGAATTTCATTCAGATCCCGGTGCTATTAACGAAAATCTTGTCGGAGTGTTCGCAACACTTGCTCGGAGGTCTGCCCGTACGCTGGAATGTGGCCGGTTTACCTAAAGTCGCGAATCAAACAGGTAAAGATGCAGCAACTGCGATTACCGCCAGCGACACACAAAAATACCGACGGACAAGGCGACGTGGTGCATTGTCGCCATGAGGTCACGATCGAGGAAATAAATGCGAATCAGCGAACTGGGCATGGTGCCATTGATAATACTGCTAGGGGTCCTTTTAAACTACAGATGGAAGACTGGGATGCGAGGGGAGGTCAAGGTCGGCGATGTAAATTTGAATATTCAGAGTAAATGTTAAATATTAACTGATGGGGACTTATCGTGGTGTGTAGTCAGAAGAGATATCTATCAAAATTAACTAGATATTTAGTATCACGCTTAAATCTCTATCACTTAAAACCAAAAAAAGTCCTGGTGTAGATGGTATCAAAGCTGACCATTTAAAAATAATAGCCTACGACTTAGCCGAACCACTTTCTTACGTCATTAATTGGTGTTTCCAATCTGGAATTTGTCCTGATGCATTTAAAACAACTGTTATTACTCCTGTTTATAAAAGCGGTGACAGAATGGAAACATCAAATTATAGACCCATATCAGTACTATCGAATATAGCCAAAATTTTCGAAAAATTACTACAAAAAAGGATATTACAATTTTTGGACAAAAACAAAATTATATGTTCTGACCAATATGGATTTAGAAAAGGAAAATCTACTACGGATGCAATTTTGGCTGCAATGGATGAAATTAACTCTAATGTCAACAAAAAGATACCCACTATTGGTATCTTTGTTGATCTAAAAAATGCCTTTGATACGGTTAACCATGTCGAGGTTCTGAAAGTTATGGAAAGATTGGGATTTAGGGGAGCGTCACAAATCCTTTTAAAAAATTACCTTTTAAGTCGGGCACAGACTGTCAAAATCACTAACACTTACAGTAAAAAAATGTACATCAAGTGTGGTGTGCCTCAAGGAACAGTACTAGGCCCACTATTATTTAGTCTCTACTTAAATGACTTATTCAAAATTAACAGTTCTGGAAAGATTATATGTTTTGCAGATGACACCCTCGTATTATATAAAGCTGATGACTGGAGCACACTGAAGCAAATAGCTGAAAAGGATTTTATAAGGATCATTGACTGGTTTGATACTAAAATTTTAACAGTTGACTTCAAAAAAACAAAATTTATTGCATTTACATCCTATTCAAAATTTTTACCTACCTTCGAACAAATTTCCGTTAATTATCATGGCCAAAAGACCAAAATCGATAGAGTTTACACTTTGAAATATCTTGGAATATTTATAGACTCACATCTAAGGTGGGATAACCATATTAAATATGTTATCAAAAAAATTAGAAATGTTGCCTATAAACTCAAAATGCTTGCTAACATTCTTACAGAAAGTTATCTGCGAATCCTATACCATGCCTTAGTTGAAACCCATATAATATACGGCATCACAGCCTGGGGTGCCGCCTGCAAGACATATATTTCTGACCTGAATATAGCACAAAAAACTGTTTTGAAAGCTATTTTCCATAAGCCAAGATTATATCCAACGAACAACTTATATCAAGAAACAGGGATACTTGATCCAAGACAACTTTATTTCTTACATGCCACCACCTTATACCATAAGTATTGCAATAAAAAGAAAAAATCCTATAAACACGAGCATAACACACGATTTCGGATAGGCTCATCTAATATCCAGAGACCACACAAAACATTATTCAAAAAATCATTTAAATTCTTAGCAGCTAAATTATATAATGTAGTACCAAACGAAATAAAGATACTTAATTTTGGAAAAAAATTTAGAAGAAAATTGAAAGACTGGGTTAGTCATGTGCAGCGAATGACTGTACATAATTATATAGAAAACTAAAACTACAAAATTCCAATTACATTAATACCTTTTAGATTTAACAATAATTGTTATACACATATATGATTGATTGTTAGTTATTAAGATATAAACCACACACAGGCGATGCCTTCTGTGGTTTTTTCATATTTATTTGTCCATTTTTTGTATTTTGGCGAATAAATATTATTATTATTATTATTATTATTATTATAGGGTGAGATTTTAGTGAGTAATCGGGAATTTATTTAAAAAAGTTAAATATATGGATATTTGGATAATATGGTGCTCTATGCGGGGTCAATCATAACTACGATCCAACTCTGTACATTTTAGTATCTTTTGAAAAGCCAAAAAAAAAACAATCAACCTTAACAGTTTGCGTCAGTCACCTTTTCGGGTAGAGTAGCAAGTTTATCGTTAAAATGAATTTTATGTCCCCTACTTTCCCACCATTTTAATGCTTGCTTTATTTATTTTATGTATTATCTATATAGGGTGCCTATGAACCTAAAATGTATCCTCAAAAAATTCAAGTGGAACGCTCTCTACATTTTTACGGTTTTGAGCTATCCTTTTTATTATTTCGGTGTACAATTTTGAATTGACCCCTCTGAGAAAATGCCCCGCCGCATTTCCAAAAGTTTTAGGGACAGGTGCACTTCACAAAAAGCTATCTCTTGCCCATAAGAAAAAATCACCCATGGAGTTGTATAAGGAATTCAAAATGGTAGCCGCAGTGCTAGACGCCTCGGTCTCCTAATAAGTCGCCGTGCGGGTTCGAACCCTGTCCCAAGAGAAATGTTTCTCTTGGATATGGATGTTGTGATTGTCCGTACGTGGTAGACGGTGTCTGACTGTCGTACGCGGAGGTACCACCCGGCGGATCTCG